GCACACAACTCGGGAACCAATTATAGAGCTACGGCGTCGCGGAAAAGATTCGATAGCCTTTTTGACCCTTTCCGGGACTCTTCGACGGTGCCACTGGTCGACTTCCACTCACCTTTGAACAAAACGTGCTCAAGTTATTGCATGCACTTTAGTCGTGCAGAAGCCACGGACCCTGCGTGCGAATACATTCTAATTCCTCTCCTTCTTGATAGCGCAGGGCGCTCAGCTGTCAGGCTCAAATGTCCGACGATCTTTATTCCTCTACCTCGGAAGTCCCGAGACACCATATCCTCGTGGGCATGACATGGCGTGCCCTCCCCGCATCAAAATATTACCGGCACTGGCGCTGTCCCACTGCGGACCTACCCCCAGGCGCCGCCGGGGGTGGGTATGACGTCACAAAAGGAGCCCCGGCGGATTGGAGGGGACGCTAACTGACCGCCGGCCGGGGGCGGCGCTGAAGGGTGCGGGCAGGGGCCGGCCGAGTCCTGGAAGGTACTAGATTTGCCAGACACGTGTTGCCAGTGGACAACCACGGCGACCACTTGGTATGTCATTGGTCGCCTTTATGAGGGTCGCCGGTCGGCCGTCCGAACGATGGTCGAACGACGCAGTATATACCTACTAAATAGCTCCGGGGAGTTGGAATATGCATGTAACTACCAGGAAATTTTTCACTGGGATGCCGCCGCGTAGGGAGGTAACGGACTCGAGAACTGCAAGTCGATTTGATGGGGGAGGGGCAGAGAATGGTTTGCGTAGTCAGAGGCGATTGGGTTGGGTGGGCAGAGGCGAATGGATTGCGCGCTACTGACCGCACTAAGCGGAAGGTCTAAATCAGTTCAGGCGCTGAGCGTGGTCGCCATAAGATCGTTTTCTCGGTTGTCGTTGACAACGACAAAACGATACAATTTTTCACCCCTGCCTTGAAACTGCACGTGCAACAACAATAACGCTCAAAGATATTCCGGCGTGCAAACAGCTGCGCCGAAATTGTATCTCAGTCGTGCTTCCAAATCGACGTGGCACATCGCTGCCAGATCTTTTACTGGACGAGGAAGGCCTTTGAGTATGAAGCAAACTCTGGTGGATAAAATATGAACTAACAGAATCGTTTAATTGGCCGGGTTAGGGTAAATCTGGCTTAGGCTAACGTGCTCCAAAGTTAGTATAAACTCGGATCTGGGCTGTTCCTATCAAAATACACTTGTTTTAATTTATGCTATCCAAAAAGTTAGGGTAAATTAAAATAAATTGAAAATCGGGTTTAGGCTAACGAAAAGTTAGCCTAAACCCGTTTCACAAAAGCACTACCGTAAACCGGGGTGAGTTGATATGGATTTTGAGGTTATTCTAGATTTCGTTAAAAGCCACATTCATTTACGGAATTCTTTTTGTGCCAGTTTCATGGCACATGCCTTGGGGAGGCAATCAGCAAAAATGAATAAAAAATGTATATATTAAGCCCCTTTTTTAAAACGCCAAAGTTCATATCAACTCACCACCCCACAGGGGGTGAGTTGATATGATTTTGGATTTTTCAAAATTTCTCGGCTAAAGAAGCTCAGAGGTGAGTTGATAAAATGCCAGTGTTTAAAAAAAAAAGGATGAGAGAACACATCCTGAAAGAAACCATTAGAAAAATGCTAGTAGTTTGGCAGCAGACCTCACATTCATGAAAACGCAATCATGTCCAACACAGCGCGATCAAAATGGCTTGATTTTAGCAGCATCATTTTTTCGCTTTATGATACTTAGTTTTACTTAGAACATTCTGAACTTGGCTAGTCACGTGTCCTCAAGCCAACGGTATCAAAACTGGCAATATATTTTGGAATTACAAGTGTATTTTCTTGTAATTAAAACACATTGTCAGTTGCGGGTCAAGGTTGATATGCCTCTGACAGAAATAATGGATTGAAATGAAAGAATACATATACTTCTGAGCTTTTGTTGACTGGTAGTCAACAAAATATTAATGAAGTGAAGTGAAGCGAATCTAATTCGGACTGTATTCTAAGCGACATAAAACAGAATTCGGCATCAAAAGCCAAAATTAACCCTCGCACTTATAGGCGGGCGAACGGACCACCTCGGCTTTTCGCACATAACTCGCGCAAAAAGCGGCCGATCACGACGAAACTTTCAGTACCTCTCGAGTTTATCAATTTTACACATGTTCCAAAGATTTCATGACTCTGACTCAAACGGTTTTTGACTTGTGACCTGATTCTCGAGACCATGCTTGGCCGGAATCGCGATTTGGCGTAGTCGGCTCACATTATCCGCGCATTTCCAGTCTTTTTGTGATTGTAACGTCCAAACATGTAAATGATGTTGGTCCCACGCAGCATTTTGGGTGTCAACTGTCAAGGTCACCTGAAGGTCAGGTCAGGTCATTGACCTTTGGTGACCTCGGTTCACTTTTTGGAGTTTTACATGTTTCTAGGGTAGTTTTTTTCGGGCCGATTTCGAATTTAACATGCATTTGATCATTTATGAAGTAGTTTTAGTGCCTTCGTAACATGTTACGACACCGTCAGTGGTAGCTGACACTTGACACTCCCTATGGATAGCCGGCAGGACACCTACTGGTTGACCTGACCTGACCTGACCTGGCCTAAATGTACGAAGACATCTGTGAGCAAAACTAACATGACATTCGCGATCAGCAACAGCCAAAAAATAATAAACTCGCTTTACGAACTTCAAATAACCCCCTATTTTCCCGACTTCTGGGTAATTGACCTGGCCTGGAAGGTTAACCAATGACCAAGTTGGTTATCATCGGCTTCCTCGCGTCTCGGGCAACACGCTCATTTTTTCCGCGAAGCTCTAGCTCCACCAGGGGCCAAACGACGATGGGATTCCAACGGACCCCCCCCCCCCCCCCATACGTTAAACGCTGGCAAAACACGAATACGGGCGAGGGCTAAACACCAGTCAATTTCTTTATATTGTTTGTTCCATTTCATTTTGCCTCTCATTCTCGGTTGGCAACTGCCAAGCAGGAAAACTAATCAGTTTCACGAGATCAGAATTCCCGCGCTGTTAGGCATACAGAAATGACAGTTCTGTCATTTTCGAAACTACGAATAAATATAACAGTTTTTTTAATCTGTATGTAATATAGGTGTTCTATAGTGTTCCTTTGTAGCTTGTAGGGAGCCATCTTGAGACTTGACAGGGAGCTGTGCTGTGCCTTTTTTTATGTTAGGTATGTCCACAGAAAAAAAAAACTTTGGGGTTACTGATGTTAGTTGTCGGACCTTCGTCCCCGTCTTGAGTTGAGATTCAGTTTCATAACGTTTCGGCCAGTTACTCTCCGGCCGTCGTCACTCGTCAGGTGTTCTTTGACCCTCAAGGACCTGGATGTTGGTGGCGTTGCGCCGTACGCGTCAAACAGTTCGAAAGCTCCTGTAGTCAGCGGGAATCGAACTCGGGTTTCCCCGGTGATGGTCCACGGTTGTAACCACTCCACTATCGAGGCAGGCTTGACTACGGCCGGAGAAGCTACTGGCTGAAACGTTGTGAAACTAACATCTCAACTCAAGACGGGGACGAAAGTCCGACAACTAACATCAGTGATACTAACAGGCCTCGTCTCAAGCATTCAGAAAAAACTAAAGCTTTTGGGGTTGATGGAATGATGTGGGGAAAGAAAAGGAGAAGAGTTGGTCTAATTGACTTTGTCTTACCTGCAGACCCATATTTCATGCTAATTTGCATGCCTACCAGCCTGGTATCAGCTTTTATCATGCATATCAACTCACCACCTGATGGCATATCAACTCACCACCTGTCACTTTTCTTAAAATTATAAAAAAGCGTTGTTATAGGTGAAACCCAAAACTACCTGGGATCAACAGTAAATTGATGGTAGTTTCTTTCCCAGTGCATGTTGTTTCCATGAATATCCACCGTCTTTGCTGTAGGGTGGGGACTTTTCCTTAGTTTCAAAATCAGAAGAAAAAAAGGACTTTGAAAAAAGTAATGTGTTAAGAAGGCACTGCACCACATGCATGCCTTTCTCAGCTATATGCATCACTTATTGGTTGCTTCACTTCACAGAAAAATAAAACTAAAAATTGGTTTACAAATGGATGAGCAGCACACATTTTAACATTTTTCGAGCAATTTATATCAACTCACCACCCCATATCAACTCACCCCGGTTTACGGTACCAATGTATTCTTCGTGAAGTCAGCTTTCATATGACACCCATATTGCCTATGATTCACGACGTTCTGGGCAGATGTCATTTTCATGTCAGGTCATGACCACGTTGTTGACCTCAGTTTGAGGTCAGCGGGTCCGATATACCAACCAAATCACATACCACTATTGAGAGCATGGATAAGACATCTCTGAGGGGAAAAAAATCAGATTTTTTTTTAATAGGGCAAATTTGAAAGGTCACGGGGCAAGAAAAGGTCACATGGTCATGAGGTCAAAAAATGACGTTGGGGTTTCAGTCACATTTTTGCTAGATGCACCAGCCTATGCGCTTATTATTTCATACATAACTTTTCTTGATCCGGTCAACCGTTGTAGAAATAAAAAATATTTTATATTTCAATATTCCGGAAAACCTACAAATTTCGATGACCCATATTCAATGACCCCTGTGACATTAGGACTAAACATTAACTGGGACAAAGTAGTGTCCATTGGTCACATTGCATGCCAAGGTTGAGCAAAATCGGATAGGTCATGGTGAACTATTGGGAAAAATTAGGTGATTTGTGGTGGAACTGCCCTTTACATATTGGTTCTTAAGTTGTCGGGTGGGGGCGATTACCCCTTCCCCATAGCAAACGGTGTGTGACGAAATACTCCAGCAACTCTGGAGTTACATGTGACCGGATACACATGAATTGGTTTGTTATTTAGGCAATAGAAGTGGGATTGGGAGGAGTCAGATAGCTAAACAAGAAAAATATAACCGACGAAAAGTCTCTAGGAGAGCCCTTACTCGTATATGCGGCTTTGTTCACAGGCCATTAGTGATCTTATCACGGCAACAGACGAGCTGGACAAGACAAAGCTGAAAGAAGAAGAGCTGAAAGCCGCTGTTAATGAAGATCCCACTCGGGTGTTCGGAGAGGAGCGAGGTGAGCCCAGGGACTGGAGGAAGATAATCGACACCTCACTGGACAAAGGCCACTTAAAGAGCTACGACGCGACCATATCTGGGCTGCTGCGGTTGATTCGAAATAAGGTGAGGATTCATGTGTGACGGTGTCTATTGCCCGCGCTCTGATGGTAGTCGGTTCTGCTCGGCACCACCTGGGCTATTTCCTAACCCAAGACCGCATGGGGAGGTGTCGGATCCAGCACACTCTTGCTATCTCAAAAGCAATGTTGGTATCGACAAAGGTGAAAAAGCGTTCAAGCTGTCGCAAACGAAATTTTCAAAAGGCATAGCTGTCGCATTAAAAACATGAAATTAACCCGGCACCGCCTGGGCTATTTCCGTACCCACGACAGCCTGGGGGGGGGGGTCGGATCCGACCCCCCCCCCTGTTATCTCGAGAACCAATGGTCGCATCGAGCCCCGTGAGGCGGCGTTCGAAAGGTCTCTACGAGACCTTTCCAAAGCACTCTTAAGATTTTAAGATTGATGTCAACTTTCGGGTCAAGGTCAGATCAAAGGTCAAATTCTGGGGTTTTGCATGATTAGGCTTACGGACAGCGGAATCGATAGCTGCTGCTCGAAACTCACCAAAAATGACCTCAAAGGCCTAGTGAAGGTACCATGTGCGTATAGAGGTCATACTAAGCACGGGTCAAGGTCAGGCCAGGTCACGAAAGGTCACGGTTTTCACTTTCTGCTACATGGGCGTGCAACACATGTTTTATGGCTTATTTTTCACGCCGAATCTGATGGTAATGGTTATATGTGACCAGGGGGGTACGCTCCGGCTGTTTAGCATTATGAAAAATGGTGACAGACGTTTGTGGAGGATTGTCGACGAACTCTTGTTCCGTGAGCAGTACTTACACGCTAGCGGAAAATTCACCAATCAGCGCTCGGCGGTACTCGACGCTGACTGGTCCGACGCTCGTGACGAAATTGCGGGGGACCGCAGTTATTCTCTATGGACCCGAATAGGCTTTTGGATTTCGGAGGGGTTTCTTTAAAATTATATGCTGTTTCGAGCTGTTTTCGAGTTGAAATATATTTCTTATGACTGTTACCTATATAATGGCACCATAAAATCATGATTTTGATAAATATTACCGATGAAATATCGGCCGAAAAGACATGCTGTCATGGTACGGACTGCCCTGCGGCTGATGTGGGGTCCCTAATGCCAGCGTATGGTAATAATGGGGTGACGAAGGGTTATTGGAGACTCTTAGAGCCCCATCAGCATTCAGCATAGGGTCATCAGAGGCCGGGAACGTCCATCAGGGGTCTGAGTAGGCCTGTCATAGGGGCATACATGACACATCATGGCCCATGGGTCAATGTAGATCCATGGGGCCGTTGAAGGGCCATCATTGTTCAGCGTGGGCTCGCAATTACCTCTGATGGGCATATGCCGTGCCCCGATGGACTAACGCTGGCCCCTGATGAACCATCACCAGCCCCTGATAGGTCTACAAAGCCCACTGCTGGGTCTAAATTGGTCACTGATATGCCCAAATGGGCCACTGAGAAACCCGTACAACATCCCCTGACTGCACCTGCTGGACCAGTGCCGTCCTCTCATGGGCCCACCACAGCTCTTGAATGACCTTTTCAAGTCCCTTGAAGTGCCTTTATTGGCCTAAATGGCCCCTGATTGGCTTATGTGGTCCCTATTGGTCCTATATGGCCCCCATGAGCCCTCAACGTCCCTAGACGGCCTTACATTATATGTCACTGGGCCCTGTTGGGTCAGCACCGGCCCCTGATAGGCTTGCACTGGACCCACCGGGCCTATACCGACCCATGAAGGGCCTATGTCGAGCCCTCATGGGCCTCCGATGACCACACGCCGGCATGTGTGGCCCCATCAGCAGTGGTCCGTCTATCCCATGTACTTACGGTCTTTTTGGTCGATGTGACACCGGTAGTATATAGAAATGTTATGATTAAATGTCGTTATTACACAGTCAAAAGTCACAGAAAGAATATCCAAGCTCAAAAATGGCCTCAAACCCAACAAAAACTGGTATAAATCCCCTTCAAAAGCCGTAAGTCTATTAAACGCCATAGGGGAATAGCTGCAGTCCCCCGCAATTTCGTCACGAGCATCGGGCCAATCAGCGTTGAGTATTGCCGAACGCCGATTGGTCGATTTCCGCTAGCCTGTAAATGCTGCTTGCGGATATAGTTTTGAACAAAAGAGGGTCGCGGCTACTAATTATCGCTTGTCACCACTTTTTCGTCGGGAGCGTTCTACCTGGTTTATATAGCCTTGTATGTGACCCAAATTCACTTTGCTGGTGATAAGTGTGCATTGAAAGCATAAAAAATCGTTTATACTAAACGAGGGCTGAGAAAAAAGGTCAATTTTTCAACTTTTTATTTTTGACAAAAATGCACTTTTCTAGACGAACTTTGTCCCAGGAATCTAGTGGTGCCATTTGTTTTCACATGCGATTTTCAGAAGTGCCTCTAATTCACGAAAATGCTTATGACGTCACCATGCCCTATGCATGTTGGAGCTATTTTTTACAATTTGGGGGGTCAAAAATCAAGATAGAAAGTTGAAATTTGGGACATCTTATGTTCTAATAGAGCTCTATAACATATATTCCTGTTTTTTGGAAATTCTCAAAATTTTGGATTTTATTAGCTGTTTTCCAAAAAATGTAGTTTTTTGAATTTTCAGGGGTGAACAACGCATTTTATGGAAAATCCGAGATAGCCATTTTAAAGAACTCGTTGAGCTGCGTCTATTCATGACCTTAATTTGCAATTTGCTTGAAACCCTGATTTTTTGGCAATTTTTAAATATTTACCACTTTTTGACTAAAAACGCGATGTAGTTACATCACTAAAATCGATATATCTCAATTTTTTATTTTTTTTCTTAAAAATTACACAGAAGACGTCAAATTGATGGGGGAGAGGGTATGCCAAGTTTCAAGTTGATAGCGTAAGCGGTTCTTGAGTTATTCAAGAAAAACGGAGGGGGGGGGGGGGGTCGGATCCGACGTCGCGGGTTAACCCGCGCCCTGTTTATAACGCGACCTGGTGAAGGGGGGGCTATTTCGCCCCCCTCGTATCTCCGAAACTACTGGACGGATCCGCAAAATTTAAACGGCGTTCGAAAGGCCTGTCAAATGTGTCAAGGAAAACCAAATTTCATTAACCTCGGGGTCACCGATGACGTCACAGGTCAGGTCAAAGATGGAATGTTTCACCGTTTACGGGTCTTCTAGGGAATGCGCTATAACACCGAGGAAAACGCATTTTGTCGAGAATCAGCGATAGGGCGTCAGTTGCCTAGTAGATATGTTGCTATTAGAGGTCACTGACAATACCAGGTCAGGTCAAAGGTCAGGTCACCAAGGGTCACAGGTCAGGTCACATGAACCCAACTTTACTAAGGTTGTGTGATGCATGTTTTATGGCCAATTTTTCATTTCCAACTCAATGGTTTTGGTTATAGGACTATCAGGTAAGGCTTAGGTCACTTTCTGGTGAAGGTCAGGTCAAGGTCAGGTCAAGGGCAGGTAAAAAACGGTCAAATTTTAAAGTTGGTAGTTTTGCATAAAATGGGTATTGGTTCGATGCAGCTTGTCACGGGGAGTCTAATGGTGGTCTTTGTTTTGCGCTACGGGGTCTATAATTGCTAAAAATTGAGTTTGAAAATATGACGTCATCAATTATGAACAGTTTTTTTCGCTATAACTTCGCCAAAAAAAGAGGTATCAATCTCAAATTTGGTATGTGGATGGAACGCGGTAAGGACTATCACATATATTCCGGTTTTTGCGAAATTCGAAAACTTTTTGGATTTTCCGACTATTATATCCAAAAAATCTATTTTTTATTTTTGGGGGTCAAAATCCAAAAAAAAATAAAAAATCCGAGATAGCAGTTTTGTAGCCCTGTCAATTCTACAGCTTTTATCTTAATCATTTTTCTGTATTTGCAAAGCTATAGGCCTGACAGCTCTTCCCGCAAAACCCTTTTTTGGGTCGAAAACGGCAGAACATGTCGTCACTCTGACGTCATTTCCGGCCAACTTATCATAGCCTTTGGAAAATTTTGTGTCACAGTGTGTAAAATTGATGTCCGAGAGGGTACTGAAAGTTTGGTGACGATCGGCGCGGCGGTTCTGGAGATTTATCGAAAAGTCTGGAGGGGGGGGGGGGCAAAAAAATAGCCCCCCCACCAGGTCGCAGGTTAAGTTCAAGAAATACAGGATGTCTCAAAAAAAAAAACGAGACAATAAGGAATCGTTATATCTCGAAAAGTAATTATGCTAGAAAAACAATTAATATGTCATTCAAAAGATAATTGTTGAAAGATTTTTATGGTGCGTCAGTTTTTATTGTCCGAGATGAATTGCGACCAAGCCACTTGCAAATATCTCGTGCCCCCCGCCCCCCAAAAAAAAAATTATTACGAGCGAGCGAGCGAGTTCATACTGAATTAACCCTCGCCGGCCGAGGGGGGGGGGCGGGTGCCGCCCCCCCCCATAGGGTTTTTTCGCGATAGCTCCGAACACGCTGGCGATAGAGAGCTGAAACTTGGCATACCTGACCTTTGATCCAAGCCGCATCTTTTGACACCAACTGCATTTTTGGGTCAGGTCAGGTCACTGACCTATGACGTCATAAGTGAACCTCTGCACGGTCTTCAGATGTCGCAACTTCGCAACGCCCTCACTGCCAGAGGAGATGTCACAGGGAAATGAAACTTGCAGGATCTAGTATCCATTATAAGTCTCACAACTTCTATATCTCGGATTTTTCCTAAAGGTCATATGAGGTCAGGTCATTTTCGTGACCTCACCATTATAAGTCAATGGGGAAAAATGAAAACTGCTATTCTGGCGCCGGGAACGATCTCCAACTATCTCAAGCACACAAAATCGTGATTTGATGCACTCCTTGCAAGGTTAGATGCGTCACTTTTGCAATGTTGACCTTCCGTGACGTCATTTATGACGTCATCAAGGTCATATTAGTTTTTCGTCAATAACTCTTGATCAAATTGAGCTAGCGAGTCGGGAAAGCCACCAATGGACTCAGGAAGACCTGTCGAATCGAATG